TTTCCAGATTTAGGATCATGTGAGACAAAGTAGCAAATGTAAGAAGCTACGGTTGCTCATCCTACTTGCCTGCAGAATTCCACAAAATCCTTTGCCAGTAGAATGCCACAAAGCCCTGGACTCAGTAATGAGCCCTCAAGAAGAAGGCCTTGAAGATGATGAGGACAGACCATAGGCTCCCCTGTCTCTTGCCTGAATCACAGAATTTTGGAAAGTGGGTGTGGTCTCTGCCTTTTTCTGTACATATCATCCGATGGGATTAATGATTCTGCTTCTGTAATGTATAACCCAATATACCCTCACATCCCAACCTTGAGGTTTTGCTCTAATGTAACTTCTGAGTACATTTGATGTAACTTCTGAGCACACACAGAGTGGCCACCACCTTCAAAGCCTGCTTTGAGAGGTTGAACAGAACCTCTTTGAAAGACTCATCCCTGAGAGGCCAAAGTGAGGGGATTGCCTGAGCCCATGGGTTCGCGAATAGCCTGGGCAACTTGGCAAGAACTCATCTCCACAATACATCCAAAAATTAGCTGGGCGTTTAGAAACATGCCTGTAGTTCCAGCTACTTGGAAGGCTGAGGCAGAAGGATCACCTGAGCCCAGCAGGTCGAGGCTGCAGTGGTAGTGAGCGTGCCATTGCAATCCAGCCTGGGCGACAGAGTGAGACTCCAACTAAAAATAAAAATTAAAAAGAAAAAGAAAAAAGAAAAAAAAGGAAGAAAGACTCATCTCTAGGTGCAATCCTCACTAAACCTCTAAATAACACTAACTTTACTTCTACAAAACTTGACTTTTCTTTAGTTTATAATTGGTTCGTAGGAGAAATCCTGATGCCGATTCAGAAAAAAAGAGAAACACATTTAAAAAATCATGAGAGAAATCTACAGAAAATTGGGACCTTCCAGAGAAATGAGTTTGGGGATAAGCCAGTGCTTGCTGAGCCCTGTTTAAGCCTTAGGTGACAAAAAAACAATGCGTACCTATGTCTGCCCTTTTTCAACCTTGTTAATAGTTCATTTTTTTTACAGTACTAAAGTAGTGAAAAATGTGAGACATTGAAAACTAGGGATATGAAGACTTACAACATTATTTTAACTTAATGCAGTATACCATTTATACAAAAATGATAATTTATTGGGTTTTGGTTTTTTTTTTGAGTTGGAGTCTCACTCTGTCGCCCAGACTGGAGTGCAGTGGCTGCTCCCGGCCACCACAGCCTCTACCTGCTGGGCTCCGGCGATCCTTCCGCCTCAGCCTTCCAAGTAGCCGGAATTACAGGCATGCGCTACCATGCCTGGCTGATTTATTTTAGATTTATTGTAAAAATGAGGTCTTGCTGCCCAGGCGGTTCTTGAACCCGCGGGCTCAGGCAATCCACTCACCTCAGCCTCCCAAAGGCGCGGGATTACAGGCTGAGCCACCGAGCCCCGAAAATTTATTGTTCTATTAGTTATTCTACACACAGAAGGTGTCGTTGCTTTTCATCAAGTCAAGTGAGTAGCTATCACTGAATATTTAGAATTCACCAATATTTTCCTGAATTTTCTCTGGGAGTATTTTCTAATAATCACTTCAATCCACTTTGCATTTAAAGGTCTCTTTACAGATGCAATTCTAACCTCATCACTCTTCTGCTTCAACTTTGTGGATGGGTTCCTTCCGGACTTAGAACAAGGACCAGGAGACTGACCATAGCCTCAGATCCTAGATGCCTGTGGCCCTGACCAGTCTACTTTATTCCAGTGACCTGCCATCTTGTCATTCTTACTTACTGGGAACAAGGCTCTTCGTTTCTTCATATTTTGCATGTGTTTCCACAGTCCATTCAACCAATTCAACCTCTATCAGAATTTCTTTTTTTTTTTTTTGAGTTGGAGTCTCACTCTGTCGCCCATACTGGAGTGCAGTGGCCGCTCCCGGCCACCGCAGCCTCGACCTGCTGGGCTCCGACGATCTTTCTGCCTCAGCCCTCCCAAGTAGCTGGAACTACAGGCGTGCGCTACCACGCCCGGCTAATTTTTTGATTTATTGTAGAGATGAGGTTTCACCAAGTTGCCCAGGCAGGTCTCGAACCCATGGGCTCAGGCAATTCACTCACCTCAGCCTCCCAAGGCGCAAGATTACAGGCTGAGCCACCGAACCCAGCTTCTATCAGAATTTCTAAGACTTTGCCCAGGAAAATTCTAAAGGTGTCACAGTGGAAATTTATGTTCTTTCTAGGGAGTTTTTCATAAGCATAAATGAAGTCCTTCAGGATTATCTATCTGAATCGTCTTTGTCATTATTACTTTAAATAATAGTTTTATTTACTAATCTTTAACCTACCTGGTAAAGGCCTGCTGATAGTTTTATTTGACAGCATAACTTTTTTTTTTTTTTTTTTTTGGTCACAGCCTGGCTCAGAGTATGGCTGCAATGAACATTCTTTTTAACAAAAATGATCGACATACTCATCAAGAATGTAGCAGTATAGTCATGCTAAAAAGATAGAGGTTAACACAAAAATAGAAGACTAACAGAAAAATTTAACACAAAAGTTTCTAATATGTCCAACATTAAAGCAATGTAAGCTATATCTTTCCTTTTATTATAGCCATGCAGTTTTAAAACTTATTTTTAAAACAACGGTAAAGTGAAAAGTTACACTTTTGGAAACAAATGTTTGTACCCCACTCACAAAATATATATTGCTTAAACTTCAAAAGTAAGTCACAAGATAGCTCTTGAGAATTTTAGACTATATATTTTTTATCAGTTAAAATGCATTATATGTGTAGTCAAAGTGATGATAAAGATATTTATTTTGAGAGTCTCTCTCTTTTGATTCCTGTAGGGTTTATAGTCTTTAGGTTGTCAGCTAGAACTGACATACAGAAACGTACCCTGAGAGGCCTTTGTCTTCTCTGACAGTAAAATACGCGTACCGCAGAACCATCAATGTAGCTAGTACTTGGAATGTCTCATATCAGCATGAATGGCTCTCATTACATACAGCCACCCTTGTCTCCACAGTCAGCAAGAATGTAGGTAGATTTAATATATCTTAAAATAACAATTGATCTTGAGCAAATTATCTACTGTTCTCAGGAAACATCAAATCCCCAAAGCATAGGGGCTTCTAGAAAAAGGCATTAAGGCTGCTCTTGGAAACTTAAGGGAATCAACCTGTTTTCCTCATAGGTACCTAAATGACTTACCTAACTAGAGAGGAACGCTTCTGTGGAAAAGGTGATTCTTAATTAGATTTACTTTACCATCCAAGTAAATTTTTTTTTTTTTGGTCTGTCTTTTGCCTTATAAAATTGATGAGGTTATCAGCTAAATAGAAAAGGAATCTACAAGCTAATTCCTACCGGTTTTAAAGAGAGACTAAAGCCCTAAACTTGGGAGACTGGTGGTAAAACAGCATACTTAGTAATGGTGCAGCCTCACAGGCTTTCCATTGATTTCTATTCTGGTGATTACTGGACATGTTTTTTATGTAGGAGGATCCAACCTCCTTTGTAGTGTCAAAGAATTTTTAATCTCAAGTTGATTGTTAATTCTGACGGCAAAGCATTTGGTAGTCTGCCCATCTGGGGGAACTTTAGGTGGTTGAGTATCAGTAAGTCTTGTGGATTTATAATTAATGGATAATAGTGAAAAGGAAACCTGCTTTGTGATTCTGCATAGTCCAGTGGGAGATACAAACAATAAAGTGCAGACAGAGAAATGTACAATGATATATTAGAAACTAGGTCAAGGTACCATTTGCATTTTCCTCTACTTGACTTATATTAGGGGCTTAATATAGTAGGATCGTTCTGCCCAGGCGATTCTTTTTTTTTGAGTTGAAATCTCACTCTGTCACCCAGACTGGAGTGCAGCGGCCGCTCCCGGCCACCGCAGCCTCGACCTGCTGGGCTCCGGCGATCCTTCCGCCTCAGTCTTCCGAGTAGCTGGAACTACAAGCGTGTGCGACCACACCCAGCTGATTTATTTATTTATTTATTTATTGTAGAGATGAGGTCTCGCCAAGTTGCCCAGGCGGGTCTCGAGCCCGTGGGCTCAGGCAATCCACTCACCTCAGTCTTCCAAAGGCGTGGGATTACAGGCTGAGCCACGAGGCTGGCTGCGATTCATTTTAAAGCTTTAATTCACTTTAAAACACATACTATCTTACTATTTAAAAATACAGTTGGCCCTCCATATTCATGGGTTCCATATTCACGGATTCAAGAAAACATGGATCAAAACTATTCAGGAAAAAAATTACACAGAGTTCCAAAAACAAAACTTGAATTTACGGCGCACCAAGAACTATGTTGAAAGCATGTAAATGAAGTTTTGTCTAGACATTTTATTAGTTATTATAAATGATCTACAGAGAATTTAAAGTATACAAGTAAATGTGCACAGGTTATATGCAAATACTATACCATTTAATATAAGGGAACTGAGCATCCATAAATATTAGTATCAGCTGGGGTCCTTCCTAGAACAAATTCCCCATGGTTACTGAGAAATGATTGTATACAAGAAATACATAGAGAATAACTATCCTATACAATTAATGAACAGCATATGGTAGAAATTAAATGTCACTATTATAAAATCCTTACTGAATTTGGGCTGAATCAGAGTAGAAGTTACATTGGATTAATTTGATTGGATTAGGCAGATTCTGATGGTGGGTCGCCCATAATTGATTGATGAAACCCCTCCCATGCAGACCCCTCTTATTATTTAATCAGCAGCACCAACCAATCACGGCAGTCCTTGTTGACAACCCCACGGCTCCATCTCTTTTTAGGACTCTTGGAGAATTTCTCCAAGGTCTCACTCTATGAAAGCACTGTTCAACCACCTATAGGCCAGAGCACACTCTCCCACCTCTGAATGTTTGTGCCCAGCCAGGGACTGGCATTTGTCCTTCAGGTGAAGTAAGGGGTCCAGGCACAGACTGTGAATTTACAGGAGGTTTGCTGTCACAAAGAAGTCCAGAGAACCTTCACTATGTATGGTTCCCGGCGCCCAAGAAGTCCCAGTGATTCCTGGACAGAAATGAAGGATGATGAGACGAGAGAGAGCAGGTATGTTTGAGTGTGTATCTGCTTTGAATTGCCAGAAGGTTGATTTGTGACTCTGTGTGTGTGTGTGTGGTGTGTGTGTGTGTGTGTGTGTGTGTGTGTGTGTGTGTGTGTGTGAGAGAGAGAGAGAGAGAGAGAGAGAATGACAATGTATGTTAGAGAGGCACAATAGGAGAGAGAGGGAACCCTTACCTGCCATGAGGTTGAATGTTCTGATTTCAGAATGCTGGGGGTAGCATGAGACCCACAGTGGTAGCCATGTGAGGAGGCAGGAGAGTGAATTTCTGTAACTTGTCAGTAGTTCTATTTCAGGTTTGCTCTCACTAACAATTCACGTCCCCTCTCTAAATGGAAGCTGTCTTTTTTATGTGGAGAGGGGAACCGTGGGCATGATCTGAGAGTTCCACCTCCTGCTCACTAGGAAAAGCAACAGGTCCAATAATGTCTCACCCAGTTCACTTTGCAACTGCGTAGACTCAGGGGTCACTTCTCTGGAATATCAATATTTTACCATGAAGTCCTCAGACCAAATGAGATGTCCCTCCTTCTCATGTGGGTGAGTTCCTAAAATAGCAAACTGCTTTCTGTGGCCACCGTTTTTTTTGTTTTGTTTTTAATTTTTGAGTTGGAGCCTCCCTCTGTTGCCCAGGTTGGAGTGCAGTAGCACACACATGGCCACTCCCACCTTCGACCTGCTGGGTTCAGGCGATCCTTCTGCCTCAGCCTTACCAAGTAGCTGGAACTACAGGCACGTGTCACCATACCTGGCTAATTTTTTGATTTATTGTAAAGATAAGGTCTCGCCAAGTTGCTCAGGTTGGTCTCAAGCCCATGGGCTTATCATACGCCATTTCCAACTGAGGGGAAGACCCTTCAGGAGAGGCAGGGGTGGGGAGATGGACATTAGGACACTTTGTATAGAGCTACTACTTAGAGTCAAATACAAATATCTGTGACCTTGGACCACAGGAAGAATGTGAGCTGGGTTACATATGGACATTTTGGCTTGTGACAAGTGGACTCTGTCACCATGTGGAAGACTGACGGGTCCCTCTCTGTCCTGCAGCTTGATGGCCGCACCACTGAATCCACCCAAACGTCGATGCATGGAGTGGGATCCCAGGATGGGTAAGGACTTTACCCCGCTTTTCCTTAAGATCCTCCTGCTTGGAAACCAGGGTCACATCCCACAAAGTCATGAGAGGAGAGGGTGCTTTCTCCAGGCATCGTTTCCTGAGTGGAAAGGTGTCCCTGATCCCTGTGGACAGGTGTTCTGCAGCTGGCCTGTGCCGGGTTGTAACTTTCTGCAGGTCACATTGGTAACCCCCATAAGAATCCTGCTAGACCAGGGCCTTCACCTCCTCACCTGCTCTCTCCATAGGAGCAGAAGCACCCGCAGTTCAAGGAGCTCCGCACCTTGGTTCCTGCCAGCCCCTGGAACTATCCCAGGTAAGTTTCTGTGTCCTTGGATGGTACTTATGACCTCACGGCCCAGGATCACTTCTACTCTCCAGGCCACAAGGGTCTTCCAGGGTATGTGCATTTAGGTAGGGTCAGCATGAGAGCACATTCTGGGAGGGGGTTTGGATTTGGGTTTTAACGTCGTAGAGCGCAAAGTTGCTGGCTGCTCCCTCCCCGTTAGCACCATCTGTGGTCTCTTTTGAAGGCAGAAAACTCAGGGCTGTCTTTCCCCAGGAGCAGAAGGATTCCAGCATGGAGATTCTCATCGTGGTCCTGGAGTCAGGGACAGTCCTCGAGCTGAAACTGGGAGAGGAGGTCTTCATCCTGGCCCCAAAGACAGCAGCCCTGCAGCTGACCCTTGGCAGCGTGGTCCTCCTGGTTGTCCCCGAGCATGTCCTGAGGTCGCCAGATGGTCTGCAGTTCCCTGTGGAGGCCCAGTGCCTCTTGCCCTTCGTTGCTGACATCACCTGGGAGATCCATATTCAAGATGGAGACATCGCGGCCGTGAGAACCGAGCTTGAGCCTGTCCTACCTGCAGGAGAGGAAGAGGCAGCTCCCCCAGACCTCCAGCCCTTGATGAGACCCCCAGGAAACCATATTGGGATCAGCCCTTCCCTCCTAACAACCCCATTCTCTATTCCTCACCATGTGGTGGCTGTCCCCCAGCGCTATCCCCTGCCGCCCACACCCAGTCCAGTGAGACTGTCCCGGTCAGCCGACTTCAGCTTCAGTCTGGAATCCTTGCCCAGCTCTTCCCTCAAACCTTTACCCCCTTCACCAAGTCCAGCGCCCCAAACCTGCCCTAGGGTCTACCGTAGGTCTCCTAGCAGAGCACGAAGATGTCTCTTCAGGAAATGACTGACTCAAGAGCACCCTCCTGCATTGGTGGGTCAGGGACACCCCACAATATGGAAGGAGAGTCATGCCAATGACCTCTTGCTTCTTGGCTGAGTTCCATTGTCATACATTGTTGGATGTGAGAGGGTCCCAGGTACTACAGGGATTGTGGATAAAACGCTCCCATCCCACGTGGCACACACTGTCCCTTAGAATTTTCTCTTCCTTATCCAACCACACTGGACAGACTCCCTCACTCCACCACATGAGTGTCCTGCCTTTAAAATTCATCTGAAAACACTCCCCCACCCAACACTGCCCCTCCAGCCCCCGATTTCAAGGTATTCATCAGTGCATAACCCGGATAATGACTCCCAAGGCTGGTGCTTTCTTTCTGTCCAGAGAACTTCCCTTTTTTCTCCAAACTGCACCCTAGTCCTTGTCCTTTTCCCGGTGCCCTACATTCCCCAGGCCAAATGCTTTCAAATAAATGTTGGGGTTATTGAATGAAGTGCAGGTGCCTGCTGTGTTTGCTTCCAACCGAGACACTCCCCTCCACCGGGTTCTTTGACATCCTGCTTTCATTCTTTCTCACCTTTGTTTTGCTTCTCATTGTCTTCTTTATCTTTCATGTACTTACAGAATAAGTGTTTGACAGTTTTCTTGGAAAATTTGGGAATGTAGCTTTGAGCAGGACAAACATGTTTCTAGTTCTCACATAGGGAGGAGAAAGAAAATGGATGTGGAAATTTCATATGTGGTAGATAAAAGAACGACTTGGTATGTTGGGAGTTTTGGGTGGAGCATCACTCTTTCTTGAGAGATGATGGAAAGGCCTTTACATAAGGCACCTTGTGAACTGAGACCTAAATGTGCAGTTTTTTAAATTAAACGAGTCACAGTAGTGTAAACACTGCATAAACATCTGGCCAATGATACAACTAGAACACACAAATAAGAAGAGGAGTATTGGGTGTGTGTAGTGCAGGGTGGATCAGTGAACTAATTCTCAGTATATAGGGTAGTAAAGAAATAAATCACCTATAAGTATGAAAAACCAGGTCATGGAAAATGCGAATGTTATTTATAAATACAAAGAAACAGAAGATTGAAATAATCTCTACCATCTTGGCCATTCACAAGGCGAGAATGGCACTGTCCTGGACCTCTGTTTTAGAAGGATCCATGGTGGCAGAACTAGACAAGCCTTGCTCCTTCTAGTACCTACAGGCCTTCAATTTCCTGCCAAAATCACATTAGGGTTTTCAGAAGTGCCTTTTCTTGGGCTGTTTCTTCCAAGTTCAGATTGGAGGACAGTGTTTGCACCCCAGTCTGAGGGGTTGGCCTGGCTTGACCCTCAGAAGGGCCTTGACAGAGCTTGGACAAGTGGGCAGGATGATCACCTGCAGCCTCTCAGCTGCTCCCTGGCTCTCACCTTCCCCAGGCTTTCCAGGTTTCAGCTTTTGTGATTCTTAGGAATCTTTGAAAAATTTGCAGAGTCTCACCACTGTCATTCACTGACATTTCATGACTGCAAGAGGGATTTCTGAATCCCTGAGTTGACTTAGAATAGTTTAGTTGCTCTGATTGGCCAAGAAACCCTCCCTGAGCTTGGAGGCTGCCAAAAACCATTACTGGGCCTTTGAGGATACTTTTAAATTTTTCCAAAGGTTCAGCAGAGCATAGGATATATTTCCAGGTTTAACCTGACCTTCTCAGGTCGGGCCCTGACACAGGAGGTGAATGTTTGAGGAGCTTATCTTATGAAAGAGCAATAGGTAGTAGGGCTGGATCTCAGTGACAGCTGTGCACATATGTCTGTAGAGGAATCCTCATATTGATTCCAGTAACTGGGACACCACTTGGGAATAGAAAAACTATACTCATTGCTGTATAATGACAAGATCATTTATGTTAACAATGGTAGTAATAAAAAATATTGATGAATAGTAACAGAATGAAGTCATCATCATGAAAGAAATAATTATAATATTGATAAAGATATAAACCTATCGACTTGGGACATAAATAAGTTTCCCCTAAGTGAATAATAGGTATAAATACTTGGCCTCCAGGGATCATTTCAAATTTCAGAAGGCAAAGATGAACATCCAAAAAGATTTTTTTTAAAATCTGGAGGTAGACATGTGAACACATGGGGATTCCCATGTGAACCTCGAGTGGCTCAGCCTGAGAGGAACTGTTAAAGTGACCCTGGGCTTGGGTCTCCATGATGACTAACACCCACCAGCCTTCAGGAAATGGGACGACTGGCTGATGGGTCAAGAGCAGGGGTCCAGACTCACACATGGTGCCCGGAAGCAGAGCAATAAATACCCCCAGCGCCATGTTGTCCCCAGTCACTTGGCTGCCTTTTTGCCATCTGCTCTTCCATAGTCCCTCCTGGTCAGGACACCTAGGTGCTAGTCTTTCCTCTAAAGGCTGTAGTAAGGGGTCATCTTCATTATTACCACATCTGCAGAGGGCAAGAAGGATAGAAACCAGCAGGACACCATTAGCTCTTGCATATCCTTGGTGGGCTTAGCATATTTTGCATTTGCTTGAACAGACCAGTCGCCTAGTCAGTGACTTTCAATACAGCTTCAGTCATTCCTGTACACCTGAGGAAACATTAAACATTCCAGAAGTTCAGGAGTTCATGGAAGCCTTCCTCGTGCATTCTTTGCCTGCGAAGGTGGATCAGTGAGCACCTAAACTGACTTAGAAAACTTTTCAGGGACTCTGGGGAGCAGGGAGGCCAGTCCAGATAGAAGTTCCTGAGTCACAGGACTCATTTAACAAAAATCCTATTGTCTCAGGCAGGTAATAGAAAGTCATCTATAACCCATCCCAGCCTTCAGGAGAGGTTCCTGGACCCCTAAGATGACTTTGAAAAAATTTAGGTGGACTGGTTGATGCAAGAAAGTCCACTCTGGAGCTCTTAGACCTGCATGTAGAGTTACTGGCAGAGGGAGAGCATGTGTATATTCTTTTGTTTGGTTTTTTTTTTTTTTTTTTTTGAGACAGGGTCTTGCTCTGTCTCCCAAGTTGTAGGGTACTGTCATGGTCATGACTCACCGCAGACTCAACCTCCTTTATGGGAGGCAAAGAACGACAGCTTGGACTCAGTTACTTGCAAAGTGAGAGTGAAAGATTGAGGCCTTGCCTTAAGAGAACTAGGTGCACACAATTATTTTCACCTTCTATACATTTAATCTATTTCACAATTCAGATAATTTGTAGATTCAAATACCTTTGAGAAAAAAGTGAGCTATGAGGGAATGTCAACAAGTTTGAGAAAATGCAATTAAAGATAAAAATATAAACTTTAGTTCTCAACATAAGCTCCATCAAGTTCAAGGCATTCCTGTAAGTGATGATGCCTGTCATTTAGTTCATTCCTAAAGAATTGAGAGTCTTTGGAATTTAACCATATGTGTGCAGTAATCAACTGAAGAATTCAAACTATGTGCCCTTTACAGATTTTTTTAACATTATGAAACAAACAGAAGCTAAAAGAAGGTGTAAGGAGGATGCCTAGGACTTTCCCATGAAAACTCATGCATGAAGAGTTTTAAGAGATACCATCACCCCAGATGTTATGTCTGTTGTCCCATGGCAGAATCTTGCATCTATTCTGTTTTAATAAAAGCTTCATACCTCCTGATCCCACTCATACCTGTACCTGTAGACCAAAAGGTTAAAACCCACACAAGTAACTCAGATTTCAGGTTTTTCTGCAAATTGGATGAATATATTTCTATTTATTTATTTACTTTTGATGCACAGTCTTGCTTTATCACCCAGACTGGAGAGCAGTTGGTGTGATCCTAGTTTACCACAACCTCAGCCTCCTGGGAATAGGCCATCTTCCCCTTCGTGGCTATAACTAAAGGCACACACTCCATGCCTGGCTAATTTTTCCATATTTTGTAGGGACGAGATCCCTGGGTTATGTTGCCTAGGCTGGTCTCAAACTCCTGGGCTCATGCAATCCTCTCACCTGGGCCTCTCAAAGTGCTGGGATTATAGGTGTGAGGTGCCACGCCTGGTTGATTATATTTATTGATTGCTGTGATCCTTAGAGGATTTCAGAGAGAGAAAATTCTTGGACTTCTACAACTTTTTCATAAAAGAAGATCCAAACTGGATCTTGGACCAAGTGGTCTTGGTCTGGAATCTATGACGTGGCAAGTTATAGGGCAGGGTTTAGGCCATGAGATAAGGGCCTACAGGTGTAAACAAACAGGCTCTGACCCATGCCTCATGGAGTCAGGATGATGTTAGGGGTGATGGTAGACAGAGTATGGTCCAACCTGTGGCACCTATACTTTCCCCTTCTTTTCATGGACCTCGTGTGCTCAATAAGATTCTCTAACACCCATGCCACACCTAAGATTGCAAAGCCAACCCCTCCTCTTCCTCCTCAGCCTACTCAAGTTAAATACCAGGAAGATGAAGGCATTCATAAAAATCCACTTCCATTTAGTAAATAGTCAATGTATTTTTCTTATCATTTCCTTAATAACATTTTGTTTATTAACAAACATTTTGTTTCTCCAGCTTATTTTACTATTACAATGTTTATAATACACATAACCTACACCATATATGTTAATCAACTGTTTATGTTATTGATAAGGCATCTGGACAACAGCAGGCTATTTGTAGTTATGTTTTAGGGAAAATAAAAATTTTATCAGGAACTTCCATGCCAAAGAGGGTCAGAAGCCATAACTGCAACATTGTTCAAGGGTCAGTTGTACACTTATATATAATAGCCATGCACACTAGCAATTTCTATACTGAAACTTCCAAATAGTACCAGGGAAAATAAAGATGTTTTAAGAACATGAAAAGTTATACCAAGCTCATGGATTCAAAGACTCAGTGATATTCAGACCTCAGAGCTCTCACAATTAGTTTATAGAGTGAGAGCATTTCCAGCCTCCATGTGCTTGTCAACAACTATGCAGGGTCTGAGACGTTACCTCAACTTTCACAGTTGTTACTCATTGTGG